GAGCATTATGAACTAACAGAGTGACCACTCTCTCTTAATCATTTCTTTTAAAGGCTTTGCTATGGTTTGGTTGGGAAACGAGAGGTTAGATTAACCCAGGGAATGATTTCCAATATCTGATAGTTCCTCCATCCTCCATCCAAGGAGTATTTGAAAGAGTACATATCCGGCTAATAACATGTGTACTATTTTAAAGAAGGGGGAAAAAAAAAAAAAAGGAGCACACTTATTTTCTACCAACAAGAGCTCCCAGAGGATGCTTCCAGAGGTCACCCTGAGACTATTCAGCCTGGGAGAAGAGCCATCTGGCCTAATATTTGATAGGAAGTGAAAGGCAACATGTTATTATGTCAGTGTGGATTCCCAATAAAGACATGGACGAAAGAGAAACACATTATTACATGTTACGAGGATCTTAATATAGCTATGGAGTCCAGAGAAAATGACAGAACTAGATCATTCCAACCCCCACTCAGGTCTCAGCGTGAGGCTGCACCATCTTTGGATTTTTAAAGTTGGAAGGCTAACGCTAACTCCTTTATCGCTCCAGTCAAAACCGTCTTTAAACATGCAGAGCCCTGTTTAAAAAGAAATATGTTGTCCAAAGCTAGCAATTCAGATTATGGTCTCTACCTCAAGGAAGCAGTGCGCCTGGGAGAAACGGCTGATTAAGAGACCGGGACAGAAACCGGACGGGACGAGCCTGGAGCATCTGGTCAACCAGACAGCCAGGAAGCCACGCTTCTGTCAAAAGACTTGGGTGCCAACCCGAAGAGGCTCCAATTGGCCAAAGGTGGCACAATTGGAGCATTAATATAGACACAGATTGTAACATACTAGCTTTTTAGAGAAAGCTTTTATTTTTTTCCCTTAGAAACTTCCAAAAAGGTATGGAGTAATAGGTTAAACTTTTATTTAGATTTACTGACAAAATTTATCAAGACACTATACTCTTCAACTGGACACCCTCAGACTCTTCTCGTAACAGGCTTTTTTTTCATGAGTTCATTAGTTCCATTAAAAAAAAAAAAAGGCAAAACAAAACAAAAGAACAAAGTCTTCACTAGTCACCTCTAGAGAGTGACAGACCAATGCATCATTTTGAAAACTGATAAACAACAAAACCAAGTACATGTATCCAGGTCACAAGTACCTCTGGGTGAGCAAACTGAACACGAGGGGAAGCTTCTCTCTATAGAAATGGTCCAGCTAACAAGTGAACAAGGACTGATAGCACACTGCCATCCTGCAGCCCCTAGTGAATCACCAAATCCAGGCATTAGGTATCTCTGGGTGCTGACATTCCAAAAAGGCAGAACCAGCCAGACATTATTTGCCTCCTGATGGAAGAATAAGTTATCAATTATAAAGTAATGTTGCAAAACAAAACAAAAAAAAAAAACCGGCAGGGGGTGGGGGTGGGGGGTGAGGATAATGAATATGGAAAAACTCCTAGATCCAAGTACTAACCTACTGGGAAGACAGAGGACATTATAGGCATACTGTCAGACAAATCTAGTCTGTAGGACAAACTAGTTTCTTTAACAAAAAATTAGAGAATCTTAAAATATAGATTGACCCATTGTTCCTCTTTCAAATAAACCACTAGAAAAATTATGACATTTAAGAGACAACTGGAAATCTGAGCACTTACGGAGTGGGTATCTTACAATATTAAAGAATTATTATTCTAGTATATAGTATTATCTAGTATAATAAAGACTCTTTTAAAATAAGCACAATACCATTATCCTTTCTTTTAAATAGGTCTTTTTAAAAATTTTTTATTTCATTTTTTAAATTTATTTCATTTTTTTATTTAAAAAAAATTTTTTTAATGTTTTATTTATTTCGGGGGTCGAGGGGAAGGCAGCATGAGCAGGGGAGGGTCAAAGAGAGAGGGAGACACAGAATCCAAAGCAGGCTCCAGGCTCTGAGCTAGCTGTCAGCACAGAGCCCTATGTGGGGCTCGAACCCACGAACCGTGAGATCATGACCTGAGCCGAAGTTGGACACTTAACTGCTTGAGCCACCCAGGCGCCCTTAAAAAAAATTTTTTTTAATGTTTAGGAGAGAGACAGAGTATGAGCGGGGGAGGGTCAGAGAGAGAGGGAGACACAGAATCTGAAGCAGGCTCCAGATTCTGTGCTGACAGCTCAGAGCCTTATGTGGGGCTTGAACTCATGAACCAAGAGATCATGACCTGAGCCGAAGTCGGATGCTTAACCAACTAAGCCCACCCAGACACCCCTACAAAAATCTTTAAAAATACTGTCAGAAAGCTGAGACTTACTCTATATTTTGGACTAGACTATCAATGCAAACCAGTTATGAGAAATGATCAATCTCCCTTCCCCAGAAATACTCTTCTTTAAACACACACAGAAAAAGAAAAGTTCAGGGTGCCAGGGTGGCTCAGTCGGTTAAGCATCCAACTTTGGCTCAGGTCATGATCTCACGGTTCATGGGTTCAAGCCCCCATGTCAGTGTCTGTGCTGGCAGCTAGCTCAGAGCCTGGAGCCTGCTTCAGATTCTGGGTCTCCCTCTCTCTCTGACCCTCCCCTGCTCATGCTGTCTCTCTCCCTCTCTCAGAAATAAATAAAACATTAAAAAAAATTTTTTTTAAAGAAATAAAAAGAAAGGTTCACTGGGAACTGTGAGGAAGTAGAAACATTATCAGCAACTCAGTGTCCTGTCTTAAAAACAGCAAGTCAGTACAGCACAGTTGAGAAGATAATGTCCAATCACAACCACCAAAAGATTCCCCAGCACCTGTCCAAACACCAGCAAACCATCGCCGCTGGCAGTGGTGCACAGTCCCAAATCCCAGTTACTCCAAACTACTCCCAAGCTGGAAGTTTTTCTGAGGAAAGACGTCTATTATTAGGGGAGCTGAAGATGTCCAGTTGAAAAACACAACTATTTTCCGTTTGTATTCGCCTAAATAAAACCTACTGCTATCCATGTAGGGAAATCCAAAATTTTAAAGACTCTGAATCTTTCAAAGGGAGAGAAAATAAAAGCTTCCTCTAAGAAGTTGGATTCATTTTAAGGACTTACTCATGGCTCTTAAATTCTCTAAGCACCCCAATTTCTACAAATATCAGACTATCCTTGGATGTGAAGGTATATCTGTACAACACGTACCCTTTTAGCCCTTCCACCTTGCTTCTATTAAAAATACATACAATCATGGGGCGCCTGGGTGGCTTAGTCGGTTAAGCGTCCGACTTTCGCTTAGGTCATGATCTCACGGTTCGTGGGTTCGAGCCCCGCATTGGGCTCTGTGCTGACTGCCAGCTCAGAGCCTGGAGCCTGTTTCAGTCTGTGACTCCCTCTCTCTCTGACCCTCCCCTGCTCACACTGTCTCTCTCTCCTAGAAATAAATAAAACATTAAAAAAAAATTTTTAAATACATACAATCCTTCAGAAAGCACTGAAAACCCCACAACCACTGACAGTGCATTGACATGTGCAATGTGGGCATGATCTTCTCTGAGATACTTCTCAAAGTTCTGTTAAGTCCCGTACAGCATGAGATTTAGGATGAGGCTGCTTGTTTAGTAACTTTATTGGTTCCTCAAACCCCAAAATTCTCAAACTTTGTTTAGATTTTTCATCAGATGAGCAGGACAATAAACATACATTGGGAGTTCTTCAAGAAAAGGCAGGAAGAAAGAAACTTATAGGTAACGATGTACCCGGAAGCTCCGAGAAGGGAAGAATTATTATTTTAAGCCAGTAATTTTATCAAGATTACGGTAATTACGAACAGCGATTTCTTTAAAGAGACTTAGTGACCCAAGAGGAAGTCTTTAAAGGGTTGAGCAGAACATGTGTTTACTGTAATCAGGGCATAGGATTCTGCAGGAGCCCCCCCCTCGCCCCCCACAAAAGGGCCTCTGCATCTGACCATGGCAGTGACTCTTGCTAAACCATGGCTCACACGCATGTGAGTCAAACAACAAATGTTTGGTGAGCACTTCGGAAAACGATTCGTGTACAGTGTGCTTTCTCTCAGAAATCTTACACAGTCCTCAGGGTATCAGCTTGTACCTGCATATTTAATATAAAGTAGGATATGGTTTTATTCCCATCTTACACGCAGGGAAGTCGAGTCAGGGACAGGTTAAATTATTTCCATGAGGTCACGAGGTGAGTCAGTCACCATAACTTAAAAATCAAAACAAAATATAAAACTCTATTCTGTTCTTAGACCTAACACGCCATTCCTATTTACTCTTCCACGTGTCATGTCCGTTCTGTCCCCTCCGACTCCACTGATTACAAGCCATCCCATACGTTCATGTCACCCATCACCCACCTTTGCATCAACTGCTCCTTGAGCACTTAATTGTCCCGAGCACTGGTGTCAGGCATTGCGCCAAATAGAAATTCGGTGGAGACATAGGGAGGTTCCTATCTAGAGGGCTTACACTTTTCCCATGAGCCGGGCAGTTTAAGATATTTTCCATAATGTACAAATGATTTTGAGGACTCTTCTCAAAACATGTAGAAAACTTGTTTTCTACAATCCTATTAACTAGGCTTAAAAATTGTTAAGTAGGAAGCAAAACAAGACTTAAAAACATAGGAACCTCTGGCACGGCCATTTCTCTTCCTATATGGTCACATTTCTCTAGGCTTCAATCCACGTTCTCTCTCAAGTGAGAGCATATAGCCATACTAGGCAGAACTGATATCTAGACCTTTATACACTTTCAATAATTCAAGCTTAAGATGCATAAATATGGGGAAGGCACATTTATTATACATCTGTAATATTTTAAAAAATATGCCTGAAGTTGAGCCATCTAGATTTTTTACTATCCTATAAGGGAAACAAAACACATTTCATTCAACTATGAATCTTTTGATGATGAGGCAGCTTCTAAGTATGTGTCAACAACTGTGTCAGATCACAGCGAACACTAGGAACCTCTAGAAGCTATCACATAATAGATGCGTGGCGATCTCCATGTCAAATGACTTCCACCTACCGTAGTGTCATTGCTGGTAACGTAAACCAGGACATCAGAGGAGTTCCTGCCATTGATGTATCGGTAGCAGTTCCAAACACAGCTGATCAAGTAACCCTGTAAGTGAGTAATGGTTATTAGATCTTTCCTTTCCAAGCTTCAGACAATTTTAAATACCCCCGCAGAGAAAGCCGCATTACAACACTTTTATTTACATAACTTGTAAGTGCACATAGTAACTTCTACTAAACCAAAAAGTATTTAAAATTACAAGTGTTGGGTATAGTAATTTTCTGGCAGAGTGCTGCTATAGCTTATTCTATCATACCACCCCAGAAGACAGTGGCGGGCGGGGGGTCACAGAAGAGCAGGAGAATCTGTAAGAAAAGTAGTTGGAAAGAGCAATGGCTGCAAACATTTACTGCCTCCAGTGTCACAGATCAGCCAATTTATTAACCCATTTTTCATTACATCTTAACTCTCTGTCTTTGGGATTTTTCTTTTATTTTTATTATACATGATTAAACAAGTCATACGCAAGTTAATTCTTTCAAAAATGTTCACAGCACATAAATTTGCTTCATGGTCAATAAAATTCACTAAAACATTTCCCATTTTCATAATGAAATAGCCAAAGAAGATAATTAAAATTAACGTCTGGAATAAAGACATGCCAGGAATAAAGAGTGAGTTCATGGGAGTTGTTCTGTGTAGACTGTGAGCCGTGTGTATTAACTCCAATCATGTGGAACTGGATTAGATTTAAAAGGACTTCAAAATTCCTTTCTAGCTGTACAACTCTTTGATCAAAAAATGTAAAGATGTGGAGAGACTGGAACCCTCATATGCTGCTGATGGGAATGTGAAACAGTCCAGCTGCTTTGGAAAATGGTCTGGTGGTCCCCAAAAGGTTACAGAGGGACCATATGATCCAACACTTCCACTCCTAGGTATATGCTTAAGAGAAATGAAAAGCTGTATCTGCACAAAATCTTGGACACAACTGTTCACAGCAGCATTATTCGTGATAGCCAGAAAGTGGAAACGACCCAAATGTCCATCAACCGACGAGGACGTAGATGAAATGTGTTATATGCATACAATGGAACAGCGCTCAGCCACAGAAAGGAAAGGAATTGATACATGCTGCAACATGGGTGAACCCTGAAAATATTATGCTGAGTCAAAAGAAGTCAGTCACATGCTGTATGATTCTATTTACATGAAATGCCTACAACAGGCAAATCTACAGAGACAGAAAGTAGATTAGCAGTTGCCAGGGAAGGGTTTTGGTGGTGGGGGGGTATGGCTAGTGATGAAACTGTTCTAAACTTAAGCTGCTTAACAGCTGTGTTCACACAACTGGGTGAATGTACCAAGATCTACTGAACTGTACCCTTTCAATGGGAGAATTTTATGACACATGAATTACATCACAACAAAGTTGTTTGTTATAAAACAAGGTTGTTTGTATAAAACAAAGCTGTTTGTTATAAAAGAAGACATTTAAGGGCAAAAGGAGTGCTTGTCAACATTTCTCAGAAGAGTGAGGTAAAACATTCTGTTGTGTACTCAGAATGCTGTCTTAAGCTGCATTCATATTTGACGGTGATTATTTCTTATATTTAAGTGTTCTGTGATGATGTTAAGATGAAAATGTGTGATGCTACTTTACAAAATGTTCCTGGACGGCAATAATCTGAAACCAGATATCAACCATGAGAGAGACAGGAAGGGCAGATTTCTTGAACAACGTACGCATTATGTTCAATTTACTCAAAGCTTCAGTTTACTCAGCAATGCCATTGTTTCTCAGTAAGGCCTCAGACATAAGGAAAAGGAACGTTTGGACATATTAGTTACATCTTATGTAAGAAGACTAACTACTCATCCATTATTTTAGCCGTGAACTATAGCTACTCTTTAAGGCAATGTGAGGCCTCTGCAAAGCTAAATCTGTAACAGAAAGGCTGAACAGCAGCGGGGAAGTACCTGGGGGCTGGGACTTCACAAGCCCAGGTGGCATTCTCGAGGGGCCCCTGCAACACCACGTGCATTCACTTACCCAACACTCCAACAGGGAGAGAACCTCTGGCCTACGGTCACTGAAAACCCAATAACTTACTTCAGTGATCTTACTGCTTTCCTGACATTCCTGTAAGCTGATTCAACTTCCAGAGAATTAAATATCTAGTATGTTTCCCCAATAACCTTGCATGTCCATCATGTATTTGCAGAGCTGGGTGGTAAGTATTGCTCCCTTTGTGGCTTGGGGACACACTGAAACTGACTACGTGTCCTGGTTTGGACTCCAAGGGAACCAGTGTGGTGATTAATCTTAATTGAACAGTAACAGTGAAATTAGGTCATGAGAGCCACTGATCAGATAAACTGATATGTGAAGTCACAACATGTAGACTCATATTTATTTAATAATTACTGAGTCTCTGCATGCAAGGCATCAGCTTAGGCTAAGAGGAATAGAAAAATGAAGGCACAGTCTACGTTATCAACGAAATGCAGGCTAGTTAATAGATACGTACGTAATGAAATATTGGGAAGTACACATTTCCCACCGGTTGGACACAGATTTGTATTGTGTCTTTTATTAGATCATAATGATAACTCAGTGTTTTGCAATTTACAAAAGCGCCCCAGGGCATAAATTGTTCTTATTCATGACCAAATCCCAGTACCCAGAACACAGCCTGGCGCGTGGGAGACCCTTAATAAATACTGATGGAGAAAATGAATGATGCATCTTAGCATCCATTAATGCACTTAAACCTCACAGTCACTGTACAGACTATTTTCTTCACCATTATTGCTAGTCATTCAAGGAAGAAACCATGGCTCTGGCCACACGGTGAGAAGCAGCTAGACAAAAGCTACATCAGACTTAACATCTCTAAACATTTCTAATACAAATGAAAATGCCCGTCACATTAAAATGCCGTCAAGGGCACTAGGAGGTCCTAGCTTCTGAGCTCCTGGTAATGGCAGAAAGCGGCGTGCAGACTAACCTTCCTTCAGGTAAAAATGGTAAGATCTGGAATAAGAGGTGTACAACTTGAAAGCATGGGGGTAGGGGGTACCAAAAGCAGGCAGAAACTAAAAAAGAGTCTACCTCTAAAAGACAAACGGCCAGGAAGAGAGGATGGATAGTTTGTGACCTTTTGCCAGAGGGTGCTGCCATCTCTGCATGTGACAGGGGTCACCTGGGGTGGCAAATGACAATGTTTGGGGCTGACTGTGCAGCAGGAAGGCTGGGTGAGGGGAGCGGAACCGCACGGGTGGCGAAGCTCCAAATCCGTGTATAAAACTGGCCCAAATCTGAAGCACTGAACTAAAAGGCAACATCAATATGGTGGTTTCATGGGAAACCTGTAGACCCAGATCCCCATGGATCATTTTCCTTTTCCTTCTCTTCACCCTATTACCTGCTTGAAATGACTTTCTCCCCAAATGCGGCTTCTTCAAGCCTACAGAGGCTTGATTATTTTTAAAAAAATTTTTTTTAGTTTATTTATTTTGAGAGAGAGAATATGCAAGCGGGGAAGGACAGAGAGGAGAGACAGAATCCCAAGCAGGCTCCGTACCATCAATGCAGAGCCAGATGCAGGGTTCAAACTCACAAACCGTGAGATCATGACTTGAGCTGAGATCCAGAGCTGGACGCTCAGATGCTTAGCGGACTGTGCCATCCACGTGCCCTGAGGCTTGATTTTTTAAAGAACTAGGTAATTTTACAAAATGGAAGATGTTAAGGATTAAAAGTTCAAAGTCTAATAACAATTTAGAAATTTCTACTTATTAGTAGCCCACAAGCACAAATTATAGTGATGTTTTTTCATCAGCTTCACAAAAATGAAAAAGGAGAGGTGGAACTCAATAGTTGAGGTGGGAGAAGGAGTGCTGACAGCGTGTCAGTCACCCAGTTTGGGGGGAGATCAATTTGACAACCTATCAAAAGCCCTCCAATTACGCATACCATCTAATTTTAAGAAATGTATCCTAAGGGGGAAAAATACGTAAATATGCAAAGATGAAGTGGAAAATATTAATTGCAGGAGCACCTGGGTGGCTCAGTCAGTTATGCATCCAACTTCAGCTCAAGTCATGATGTCATGGTTCCTGAGTTCGAGCCCTGCATCAGGATGCCTGCTGGTGGCACACAGCCTGCTTTGGATCCTCTGTCTCCCTCTCTCTCTCAAAAATAAACAAACATTTAAAAAAATATATTCACTTTAGCAGCACTAACGATAAGTGAAAAAGCAGAAACTGCCTTGATGTCCAACAATAAGTAATTTATTAAAAAATGATAAATTCATATACAATACTGTTAGATACACTGTTCAGAATATATTACATTTTAAAAATAAATTACAAAAGAATGTCACACAGACATTGTAATGGATGTTGCAGTATAGAGGACATACAACCTAATGTATAACATTAATGTATTCCCATCCCAACGGATTTTGGAATAACCCTTGGCCAGCCTGTGGAAGTGTGGTTATTGTTTCTCTCATGTAAATAAGAGAAGGAACAGAATTGTTAAGAAATAAGAAAATAGTTCAGAAATCTAAAGCAAGAAAAAGAACTCACACAAGCTTGCTTATTTCTTCAGCATTCATGAATACATTTGTTTCTTTCTTTTTTAATGTTTATTTATTTACTTTTGAGAGACAGAGAGCAAGCAAGAATGCAGAAGTAGGGAAGGGGAAGAGAGAGAGGGAGACAGAATTTGAAGCAGGCTCCAGGCTTTGAGCTGTCAGCACAGAGCCTGATGCGAGGTTCAGACACATGGACCGTGAGATCATGACCTGAGCCAGTTAGCTGCTTATCCAACTAAGCCACCCAGGTGCCCCTGTTTTCTCTTTTTTCTTTTTAGTATTCATGAATACATTTAATGACACTTAAACTGTAAATAAAATCTTCACACTTACCTTAAAAGTCAAGATAATGCTGATAAACAGGAGAATAATAAGGACCAAACAGGTAGGATTCACAGACATGATATCATCTCTGTAGGGAAAATTAGGAGGCTGCAAATAAAAAGTGCCTCATTAGCAAATCTCATTAATCATTCAGGATTATATTCCTTAGGCATTAACCAGATGTGCTTATTAAAAAGCAATTAGATAAAAAGCAGACAGTTATTATGTAAGACCACTACAAACTTTCTAGCCTACCTCTACTAATTAAAGAGTAACAAACGGTATGTGGGGAGAGGTCAGTATATTCATAATTCAGGTAATAACTCGTGAAAAGAAAAATCAGAGGAAGATTCTTTAAGTGAGACCTGAAAATGTAACTTTGCTCTCCTCTGATCCAGGAAGTTAGAAGTCAGTAGTCTCTATATACCTCTGACATTTAGATTTTATGCAAATTCTGCACCACTTTAAAGGGCTTACACAGGGCAAGGAGGAAAAAATAACTATTTTTTTTTAAATATTTTTATTTATTTCTAGGAGAGAGAGAGAGAGAGCATGAGCAAGGGAGGGTCAGAGAGAGAGGGAGACGCAGACTCTGAAACAGGCTCCAGGCTGTGAGCTGGCAGTCAGCACAGAGCCCGACGCGGGGCTCGAACCCACGAACCGCGAGATCATGACCTAAGCGAAAGTCGGTCGCTTAACCGACTAAGCCACCCAGGCGCCCCAAAAAAGAACTATTAAGATACTGTTTTACTTACACAGAGTATTGTTGCTAATGCTGCTTCTCCTCAAAGAGCAAATCTTTTACACTAGGAGGTATTTAAACCTTTGTTTGAAAAACAAAGCTCAAGTCCTATCATCTCACCATACTGATGAAGTACCAGCTCAAAAGAAGTTCCTTTAGAAGGATCTGAACCTGCCCATATGGTCAGGAGTGGCAGGACTCCACCATGAAGCCCCTGCACCCCTGGGTGAAGCCCTCCCCTTAACCAGCCTGGGTTAGTGTGCGTGGAAGGCAGCTTGGGGAACCATGGCCCCTTCCATCCCCTCTTCGTCACCTAAGACCATGCATTTGGATTCCACATGACCATCATTGAGACATAACAAAGAGGTTCCAAACGTTAAGGAAGAACACAAAGAAAATTCATTACTCATGTACTTGGCTCCTCATCCCCGAAGTAAACAGCACCAACTGGTTTTCGGTCTCCTTTCACTTTGGGCAAAATACCCAAGAAATAAAATCTGAATCATCCTTTGTGATCAGTTCATGAAACTGGTCCCTACCCTTGGAGACTGAAAGGATTTTTGTAGTACCAATCTTAAAGGTAAGAATAAAACAACTTGGTGTTGGTTCACAAGGCCTACATGAAATATTGTTTCCGTGTCTAATTAAAAAAAAAAAAAAAAAGGATTAAAGTGAAAGTTTGTGACTCCTTCCACAAAGATCTTTACACTCTTTCCTCCAGTAAAGCGAACGTGGTTTCTCTGTCCAGTTAAGGCCTATAGAACACAGGCACAACTTATTTTCACTGCATTTTACAAGACTCCACATGAACAGATCAGGCATTAGAATTAGAATTAAATGGGTGCCTTCCTCCAGCCTTCTCAGATAACAGTCCCTTCAGACTCCTGTGTCTCAGCTTATCAGCGGGGACTTCCTGTCACTGGAGCTTTAACATCATCCTTAAGCATCGTGATAATCCGTGAGCCTCACCACTTCAACTCAGGCTGATCTTTAAGTAGAACAAACTGAAGACACTTGTATTATTTGGTTTGTAATTACAAATAAAAGTAGATGGTGATTTTTTTTTTAACTCCTATTACGATTACTGTCAGCATCACCAATATTCTCATTTTACCACTGGCAGTTCTAAGGCAAAGTGACTGCACAATGTGGGGTATAACAAAGTCAAGGTAGTATTCTGAGTGTTCTCAACACTTGCCTACATGTTATACGCTTTCTGCACCTTACAAATTTCTGCAATATATGGGATGGAGCATACAGGACACTCTTCAAGTAGTCACAGGGCTGCCACAGGACTTGTCTTAGTGCCTCCTAACTCAGCACCAGCCTTTCCTGGCCCCTCACATGACACCTATGCTGAAATCATGTTTCCTGGACACTTCCAAGGCTGACTTTAGGAACCCAGCACTAGGTCATCATTACGGAGTAAAAACACAACTCCTTAAAGACACAGGTAATTCTACAACCTGCTCATCATATAGACACCCTCTCACACAGAAAATACTCAAGCTGTACCACAACAGATAACATATACAATTAGCACGTGGGAAATACACAAAAAATTTTTTGACACTACAGGCTACCAAAACATGGACTTGTTTTGTTTTGTTTTTTAATTTTCTTAATGTTTTTATTTGAGAGAGAGAGAGAGAGAGCATGAGCAGGGGAGGGGCAGAGCGAGAGGGAGACACAGAATCTGAAGCAGGCTCCCAGCTCTGAGCTGTCAGCAAAGAGACCAAGAGGGGGCTCGGGCTCGTGAACTGTGAGATCATGGCTGAGCCAAAGCTGGACACTTAACCAACTGAGCCACCCAGGTACCCCTGGACCTGTTTTCTAAAACAAAGAGAAGCTAAGACTAGCAAGAATGACAACCATAACAGTGACAACCTAATACTTTTATGGAGCAAAATGCTGCAGGCTTTCCGGGTCTGCTGAGTATTAGTTATGGGATCTGGGCATGACTGCCATAAGATCGCAAACTGCTGTGGTCACATATCCTTCCCTCCCTTCCTCCCCCTGCTCCATCTCTCTCTTTTCCACTGAACTTTCTTGTATCCCGTCACATGAAATCCTTAGCCTTGTATCTCCCATCCCAGAAAAACCCTGCCCCTTCCCCAAAGCACACAGACAATGCAAACTTCCAAAGAGTGAACTTTCCTTCCCTTTAAAACATTCTAAGATTTTGAAGAAATTAAGTTTTCAGGCACATTCACAGTTTTAAAAACAAAGGATAAAAATATAAAGGCAGAGAAGTATTCTAATCTCATACCCTCCACAAGCTTCTGAATACCCAGTTACCCACCGCATTTGCTCAGATGGTCACAAAGGACATTGAACAGAAAACCAGTCCCAAAAAGATACTTGAGGAAGAAAAAGATACTTGAGGAAGATAGGGGTTCCATGCTCAAATCAGTTTGGGAACCAGCATATAGTACAGTTCCATTTTTCCCATACAACGGCAAGGGCAAAAAGCTATCCTTTGTTCATAGCTGAGCAAACTACATTTTACAAAAATAATTAGTGACTAGCTTATTAATTTACATCAGTGCATCTCATACAGTCCTAACAGCTCTTAAATATCTACCTCCGGAGGTTATGTTGTCCCAAAAAGCATTCTAAGAAACCAAAAATCTCATCTTTAAGACGACACTTAAAGATTTCTAATCAGTAACTCAGACACGAGTGACAGACACACAAAATCCCATGTGTGTGTATGCTGAGGTCTCGATCCCTGACTTGCGGGCTTCCCTCATGAAGGGAACGATGGGCAGACGGCCACATACCAGCTGTCGTATGTATTCCTGAATGGAGTTTGGATACACAAGCACAGTAACGGCAACCAAGGTGTTGAGGGCGAAATCAAAGATCTGGTAACAGAAGAACGGGACGATCCAGGCAGCACGTTGCTAAATAGGAGAGAAAACACAACGTCAGTGTGCTTCCGTGTTAGAAACTAAGATTTCTTCCCAATTCAGACAAATCCTTTCTTTTTTTTGTTTTTAATTTTTTTAATGTTATATTTATTTCTGAGAGAGAGAGAGAGAGAACAGGGGAAGGTCAGAGAGAGAGGGAGACACAGAATCTGAAGCAGGCTCCAGGCTCTGAACTGGCTGTCAGCACAGAGCCCGAAGCGGGGCTCGAACCAAGGAACCGCGAGATCATGACCTGAGCCGAAGTCGGACGCTTAACTGACTGAGCCGCCCCACCCAGACGCCCCTGGACAAATCCTTTCTTAATCTAAAGGGAAATGGAGGACAAGAAAGTCAGTAAACCAGGTCATGACGACAACTGAGAAGCCAGAGAGTGGTGGTCGACAAGCCGCAGTGGACATGGCTGAGACGACAGCACTGGATTCCCACATCATCTTAATAAGAGATTTTAACTTCCAAAGATTCTTACAAGAAACTGAGAATCATCACTTCTTCTTTCTTAGAAGTACCTGCACAGGTTACAAGTGCAAGGGACCAAGAAAAAAGCCCAGCCCCTTGTTTCAAGGCTGCTTACCTTGTATGCTCCATAAGTAGCCATTGCACAAATCAGGATCATGAGAAGAGAAATTGCGATTGCAATGCACATGTCTGCAAAAAAAAAAAAAAAGAGAGAGAGAGAGAGAGAGTATCAGTCATAGATCCACAGTTTTAACATTTTTTTTATATTACTTATTTTGAGAGAGAAGGTGTGAGCAGGGGAGGGGCGGAGAGAGAGAATCTCAAGCAGGCTCCACACTGTCAACACAGAGCCCAGTGCAGGACTTGAACTCATAAGCTGTGAGATCACAACCTGGGCGAAAATCAAGACTCAGATACTTGACTGACTGAGCCACCCAGGCCCCCTGTGTTCTAACATTTTTTCATCTCTCCTCAAAGGCATTTTGTTTATAAACCAATTATAAGTGAGAACCTTATACTAAGTAAACCACTTGGAGTTCTCTGGGAATTTGAGAAGATGACAGTTAATGGATATAATACGTCGAAAGAAATTCTCCCTAAATCATATAAATATCTACAGATAACATACTGACTTATGCATAAGGTTATTTTGAAAATGGGAAAGAGATCTTGGCTACAGATTTTTTTTTTAAGTTTGGTCGTCTGGTCCACTGAATTGGATATACAATAAATTGGGCATTTTTTACACATGAGTGCCTAACTTGTATTTTATAAACTCCCGTGTCTTATGCTCCTATTAAAACCCTCCACTGGCTTCTCATCTCATTTAAAATAAAATCTCAATTTCTTATCATAGGCTTTATGTCTGTAATTTCTCCTAGCGCATGCCAAATCTCTCTCTAATCTCCTCTCATACTTTCTCACTACAATCCAGCCACGCCACTGGGTGCACTCAGTACAGAGAGAAAACCCCACTGTGGGGCCTTGGCATTTGCAGATCCCACTGACCGGGGGCACTGTCACTCTCGGGATCACAGGACCAGCTCTGCCTCTGTAATCATTCAGGCCTCGGCTCGAACAGCAACCCCGCCAACAGCTCTTCCCTGAGTATTCATTCTACTTCTGGGTCCTCCCACACCAATGTCGTGTTTTCTTTACAACATGTTATCACTATTATCTTGTCTATACCTGTTGTGTATTATCAGTCTCCCTCTGCTAGGGGACTCTTCCTGAGGGAAAGAACTTTCTGTATCTTGTTTACTACTACAACCCCAACATGTAGAAGGGGACAGATGCACGCCACAGTAGCCGCTAGCCACATGTGTGCACCAAGCACTTGCAACATGCTCAGTCTGAATGGAGATGTGCTGTAAGATCAAAATATACTCCAGAATTCAAAGACTTCGTACTAAAAAAAAAAAAGAAGAAGAAGAAGAAAGAATGTAAAAGATGCCTGGGTGCCTTAGTCAGCTGAGCATCTGACTCTTGATTATGGCTCAGGTCATAATCTCATGGTTCACGATAGAGCCCCATGTCTGGCTCTGCACTGACAGCGTGGAGCCTGCTTGGGATTCTCTCTTCCTCTCTCTCTCTCTCTCTCTTAGACCCTCCCATTTGCACACTCTCTCTCTCAAAATAAATAAACTTAAAAAAAAAAGAATGTAAAATATCACAATCGTTTTTATACTGATTACGTGCTGAAATATTCTGTATATACTGAACTAAAAAAAAAAACAAGGAACAGGTGCCTGGGGGCTCACTTCGTTGAGCATCCGACTTCAGCTCAGGTCATCTCCTCACAGTTCATGGGTTTGAGCCCTGCGTCGGGCTCTGTGCTGATAGCTTGGAGCCGAGCCTGCTTTGGATTCTGTGTCTCCCTCTCTCTCTGCCTCTCCCTCCCTCATACTCCTCCCCTGCTTGTGCTCTCTCTCCCTCAAAAATATACAAAAATTTTTTAATTAAAAATTTCTAAAAATAAATAAATAAGACAAATTAGTAAAGTTAATTCCACCTATGTCTACCCTCTTAAATGTGGCTTCCAAAAAAATTTAACTTTCATGTGCTTGCACTCTCTTTCTATTGAACAGTGCTGACTTAGAAGAGTGCCTATATCACAGCAAGGCCTAAATGAACATTTATTCAAGAGGTGATGTTACTATGTCCTTAGAGATTCAGATTAATTTTTTTAATGTTTATTTATTTTTGAGAGAGAGACAGACAGAGCATGAGCAGTGGAGGGGCAGAGAGAAAGGGAGACACAGAATCCAAAGCAGGCTCTAGGCTCTGAGCGGTCAGCACAGAGCCCAATGCAGGGCTCGAACTCACGGACCTCAAGATCATGACTTGAGCCAAAGTCGACACTTAACGGAGTCACCCAGGCGCTCCATGCTCCTAGAGATTTAGATTACTACATATGACTGGGTTTCTAAAGCAGTTCTAGTGTGGGGTTCTTACTAGTTAAGACAGTGCAAAAATCCATGCAGTAAAGTATCTATATGGTGCTGGAAGTTTCTGAGGCACTTCAGACACCTCATTTAGTCTTCCTAACTCTGAGAGGACACTGATCCCACCAAGCAGGCCACAAAACTAGGCTTAGAGGTTATGTAACTTGCTCAGACAGTATTTGCATCAAAACACTAAACTATAACTAGTCCTGCTCTTGGATTTCACCTCTCTGGCTCTTCTAAGACTCTGCTGCTTCTACTTTAGCCTTCGAGACTGATGAACCACCTGGCCCATCACTTCCTACAGGGATTCCTCCAAAGGAAAACATCCCACTTCTAGAACCATCCTCTCTGTATCTTCAGCTTCAGAGATGAGAGGACATTTTGAGCAGGAGACTTACAAACTGAAGCATCGGGTAAAAGAACATTCCAGGACAGCAATGCAGGTATATCAACAAAAAAGTCTCCCGTATTTTTTTTAAAATGAAGGTTCCTGAGATTAGTCTATACAGATTTAGTGTAATAAGTTCATAATGATGCTGATGACTTTTATTAACGGAGTGAATATTTCATTCTCAAAAAAAGAGAAAAAGATAAGGTTGTGAGCGCCTCAGAGGGTGATCAGAATTAGTCAGTACTTTAAAACATCATGATTTCTTTTGGTGTACATACAGATTTTGTAGTTTATAATTTTAATGCTAAATGAATTTACCTTTTCTCTCTTGTGAGGGAAGAGGTACCTATGAGGAAAGTCCATGTATGCCCTATGGTATTTTTGCAGGATCGGGGAGGGGAATAAACTTGAATGCATTTTATATGCAAAACAAAAGCTGAAACTTAACTCCTTAAAGGCAAAGGGAAAGTCTCTGCACACACATGTATAAGCACAGAGGATGCATTCTAGCGTGTCATTTGCATATGAAGCAATGAGGGTTATCAGGCTCTCCGTTCCCTTCCTACAGAAAGCTATGACCACGGTGGAACATCCATTGTCTGCTTTCATAGTCTCCATGTATTTGTGTGCTTTCTTTCCTCAGTGAACTAGGCACTGTGTTATTACATTAATCCTCATGACAACTCTAAAAGGTAAGGTACTATTATTATCTGCATGTTAGATAAGAAAAAGATGACTAAAAGAAGGGAGGTAACTTGCCCAAGGCCGCCCAGCTAGTAAGCAGTAGATGGGGTATTCTCCCCAAGAAGTCTAATCCCTGAGTCTATGCTCTTAGCAGGACACTACCCAGCTGGTCAGGAAAACCACGCAGCCTCCCTGAAAGGAGTTGGACATCGGTATGTTCTTGATATGTGCAAAACCAATTAGAATTTATAGCCATCTCTGATCTCGGAACTCAGGAACAAGTTTATTATTTTCTTCTTTGTCTAACGCAATGGTTTGCAAATTCTATACAAGCATATTTTTTAAGGAGAAAAAAATTAATGGAAGCCAGCCCATTTATAGGATATTCTTTTCTTCACAGATGTTAAGAGAGACATCTAGGTACGCAAACTCAAGGCTGTATTCAAACATTTTACATATTAGTATAACCTACAAAAATTAACATAGTCTGCATATCGTATTCTGAAGAAGAAACTCCCAGACTAAATCTCACATAATTATAAAAAAAAAAGTTTAAATGTACATCTTTCTCCAAGAAGAGAAATTTGGGGCGCATGGGTAGCTCAGTCAGTTAAGTGTCTGACTCTTTATTTCAATTCAGATCATGATCTCACAATTCGTGGGGATTGAGCCCTGTGTAGGGATCTGTGCTGGCAGCACAGAGGCTGTGTGGGATTCTTACTTCCTCTCTCCTCTCTCTCTCAAAATAAATAAATAAAACATTTTTAAAAAGAGAGAGAAATCTAAAAGGCACAAAAGAGTAAAGTCATAGAATATCCTATTACCATTCATAATGAGATGCTATTTATCATTAAAAAGTGTTAATTTGAGATGAGGAAATTTTCAAAATTCTGTTCGTACAAATAATTGTACCAACCACACCGACCGGACTGAATATATGACAAGCATCTGAAATAGCTTTGGTAGAATCAAATAAAAACATGGGGCAGAGAAGATAAAGCAGGTTAATATTCCTTCTATCTCCTAGCAAACTGGAGCGCATGTCGGCTCCTCTGACACAGGGTGTAGTGCACCCTGGTGGACATGAGTAACTCTGAGGGATTAAAATTCATTCCTTTTAATGACATCACAGGTAAATGAGGAAACAGTTCTAACAACAATGTACAGATTTTAAAAATCAGGAATAGTGCTGGTCGGACACAGGGATAGATGCCTTTTATTTATGTTTTTTTAATGTTTATTTTCGAGAGCAAGAAAGAGAGAGAGACACAGTGTGTGAGCAGGTGAGGGGCAGAGAGAGGGAGTCACAAGATCCAAAGCAGGCTCCAGGCTCCGAGCTGCCAGAACAAAGCCTGATGCAAGGGTTGAATTCACGAACCATGAGATCATGACCTGAGCCAAAGTCGGATGCTCAACCTACTGAGCTACCCAGGCGNGTGAGCAGGGGAGGGTCAGAGAGAGAGGGCGACTGAAACAGGCTCCAGGCTCCGAGCTGTCAGCCAGCACAGAGCCCGACACGGGGCTCGAACCCACGAACCGCGAGATCATGACCCAAGCGAAAGTCGGACGCTCAACCGACTAAGCCACCCAGGCGCCCCTACTTATTCTTGACATAGTACTTCCTTGTAGCACCCAGTCAGACACACTGTTGCCTAAATTAAAGTCCT